CCCGATTTATGTGTGTCATCCTTGCACAGGGGCCATGCTAATCTCCCTTCTCTGTATCGTTCCATATTTTTTTCAAGAACGGCTGTGATGTCTGGAAAGACCGCAAAGGCGGATCTTGATCTTGGGAGAAATTCAATGAGATCCACTTTAAAAAATAATAAATTAAAAATTAAAAATAACTAACGCTTCTATTCTGGGGTGGGGGGGGGGAAGGGAGCATCAGTCCGGTTGCTTATCACCGGCAAGCATGTTTCGACAGCACAGAAGGGGGGAAGAACCCGGAGAAGAGACCTAAGCTCAGCCTTGCCCTTGGCGGCACTAGCCGCCTGACCATTGGGAAGGCTGCCACGGAGGATCCCACTCCCCAAACCATGGCCGTTCTTCGAGGGTTCCTCTTCTTACAGGCAGCACCCAGCCATGCAGGAGGGGAGTTTCAAGAATGGCAGGGCACTGGTGGGGGGGGGGGGGGGGGGGGGGGGGGGGGAAGGTGGGGGGGTCCTAGCAATCTCTCAGGCCGCGTGGCACCATTTCATCGCAGCGTCTTTGTCCCCTTTCATATCTTTCATATCTGGTTCCGAAAACCCTGCTTCGGAACATTTTGGAGGCCTAGCAGTGGAATGGCTTCATGTATTATTACTCTATGTATGTACTATGTACCCATTCCACACCTGTCAAACATTCTGGAGGCCTTCCCTCTTTTGAATCCATGGAACATAGGACTACAATCTATTGAACGCATGCTCTGCGGCTGCTCACGTTCATCCCACCTTTCTGAATGTCCTCCCCTCTTTTCCTTCTCCTTTCCCTTTTCTCCAATTTTTATGTTTTTATGACCTCCACTTTTTTCCTGTCTTTTTTTTTTTTTTTTGCCCTTATAGGCTGATTCACCATTTCTCGATTCATGAATACTACTATTATACTAGGAACAATGAATCAGAACACCACATAGAGAACCCATACCCATCGGATTCCTTCCATTTCGCTAAAAAATCCTGAATAGCTTGACTCTTGACTATTGGTCTTGACTATTGACTACTGACTCTTGACTATTGACTATTGGCTATTAGTCCAGAGTTTAGGGGATTGACTGACTACTGACTCTTGACTCTTGACTATTGGCTATTAGTCCAGAGTTTAGGGGATTGACTGTCAGCTTGCCATTGCTAATGAGATCCCTCAAGCAACCATTCACGTTCGAATGCTTCCTTCTTATCCTTAATGAAGCACAGCTCTGGATGTTTTTTTTTTTTTTTTTTTTTTTTTTGGGACCTGCACGCTCAACCTTTTGCCATTTTTTGCATCTTGTCTATGTGTCCGGACTCCCACCATATCAGTTAGTGGAGACCAGGGTGCCTCCTTGTCGGTTTCTTGCCCGTCTATGGTCAGTGTGTTATGATTCTGGTTGTCTGTTGTCTCAAGACCATCACTCACTCACATAGACTTCCAGGTATGCCCATACATACACAGAAGGAAGGGGAGAGGATAGGTCCTGGAGTATCACACCGCACAGGGAGAGATAAACACAGCGTCTTGACCATGCGATGTGACAGGGTACACTGAAAGTGCAATTCATTCCACTCAATCCTCACAACCAGTCATAAAGGAAAGCCGAGTAGATCACATCCAGGACAACCATGCAACGATGATAGTCCAAACCCAGTATCACACTGGTTATTAAACTCAGAGTCTCAAATTGTCAGAATAATCCCAGAACTACAGTGTGCTGCTCACAAATGAGCAGCGCTTCACTCCCCAACCCTGAGTAATCACTGATAACACCCCTGAGTCACTGAAACATCAAGCATCACCCAGTTATTGCCTTCAGAGGGCAGCGCCACCCAGAAACAGGCCTCTGAGGCCAAGCGCCACTCGGAGGATGAAGAAGAAGACGAGCGCCACGGTATCTGATGATGACGAAGTGTCGGAAGACTTCCCGGGTGGAAGTCTGCAGCAGCGCCACCACTCCTGACAAGATGGCGTCTGAGGAAGAAGCTGCAGCTGTGGCTGCAGCGCCACAACCCTATAATCCTACTCTGGAGGAGGGTCCAGCAGGGCACCGCCTTCTCTCGCCTCCAGCAGACCTCGTATAGCCCGGACCTCTGAACAGCCCCGCGTGCTGACAGAGTGCAGCGCAGGTCCCAGCTATGGTCGGCGCTCCGAAGGTCTGGCTATGTCTGTCTCCCTCAACGCTGAGCCGTCACCACTTCCAGTTCACGCGTTGCACAGCTGCCACGATGCACTCGGTACCAACTGCCCAAAAGCCCTGAACCGATGTGCCTAACCTATGTATAGTCTACTCTAGCCTAGACTCGACCTAGACCGGACTGACTGACCGACCGGTACCGTTCCTGTTTCGGCCTCCAGGGCCTCTCCCAACCCCGGCTATAGGCTATAGGACCGTCTATCAGCTTAGGCCTTTAGGGGCTGTCTGTCCTAGGAGTAGCCCGGGCCTGCTATTCGCAATTAGGGTAGCTGCGGGAAATTCAGTTAGTACGGCCCTGTATTTTCCTGAATTGTCCCTCACGAATTTTCCGTACAGGCAGGTCTCTCAGTTAGCCCTCAGCCAAACAAAATAACGAATCTATTCTACAGATAGTACAGCCTCAACAAGAGAGAGGCTACAGACGACCAGAAACCAGCAGCAAGTCATTGCAAGTGTGCATGTTTCTGTTTCTTGTTTCTCCTTTGTGCTTGAATTACACAGAGCAGTTGCTCACAGAGCGTGTGTCGGACTCGAGTAGCAAAAAAACACTTGCCTGCAGCAAGTTTATGTGAGAATCGCTGTCGATATGGGCAACACTGAGAAGAAGCGGACAAAGGAGAGAGTGTGAGGTAAGGGAGGATGAAGAGTGAGGGAAGGCAGCAGGAACTGGAAAAAATGGAATGAGAAAGAGGAGGAAAGGAAGAAGGGAGGCAAGGAGGAAGTGAACGACGCGAAGACACAAATCCATATCATAGGAGCACACAAAGAGGAGAGTGTGAGGTAAGAGTGGCAGGTAGAGTGGGAAGATGAAGAGGGAGGGGAGGAGGAAGGGGAAGAGGGAGGGGAGGAGGTAGGGGAGGAGGTAGGGGAGGAGGGAGGGGAAGAGGGAGGGAAGACGGGAGGCAAGGAGGAAGAGAAAAGACAAATCCATGTCATAGAAGGAACAGACAAAAAGAAGACAGAGTGAGGCAAGAGTGGGAAGTAAAAGGGGGAGGTTAAGACGGGGAGGTAAAGGGAGAAGGATGACGAGGGAGGGAAGGCGCGAAGAAATGGGAAAAATGGAATGAGAAAGAGGAGGCAGGGAGCTTCTGGAGGAACGGTCAAATGGAGGCCAAAAGGAGGAAATAAGAAATAGGAGAGAAATCCATGTCTCAAGTCCTTAACTCTGTCCCTGATCTCTTTGCTTGTTTGGCTGTGGGTTGTTTTCAGCTCCAAAGGCTCAGGGAATCTTGTTCGCAGTGGGTCAAAATGGGAACATGGCGACAGATAGCGCGGAAGGCAGGGTACCAAAGGAGGAGAGAGGAGCACACAGTGGCGGGGCAGACAGAGGGCGTCAGCCGGCCGCCGAAGTGAATCGTCCGGCACTGAAGGAGTTTGATACAGAGCGAAGAATGAACAGAGCAATTAAGTTGAAGAGCAGCTCATTGTCGCAGATGCTTTCCAGTCCGGATATAGCTGGATGTGAGAGCTTGCCGGCCGTTGACCCTCCGTCGACAATCAGCCTGGACGCGGAGTCGGCAGATGCTATCTCGTTGAAAAACAGCCAGCTTCTTCTCGACCTGAGTTCGGAGTTTGTTGACGGCCGAGACTGTAGTGGAGGCCCACCCAGTTGTCTCTACGACGACTCTGACGAAGAGTCATGGATCGAGATATTTCCGCTTGACGGTGGCGGGTCGATAACCAGGGCAGGTAGGGAGTCGCGCTCCTACATCTCTTCACCCCCTCGACCTCCTGCTCCGGGTACAACTTCTAAGCCTCCTGGTAGCCCAGAAGGAAATACGCGGCAGCATAATGCTAGGCAGCAGTCCGTCGACTCTCCTCACCGGGCTGAGGCGCCAGCAATTAGTGGAGTGATGGAATTCTTATCTCAGGCTGATGGGCTGGAAGAGGAGCTCATGTATATTAGGGACGTTCTGGACGCTTCAGGATTTGCATCGGAGGGAGATGCGTCGGTCGTCAAATGGTACGGACCAGGTAACCCCCTGAACCCAATGTTGTTCAATCGACTGGAAAGAGAGAGAGAGAGAAGGCGAGCTGCTGAGGACAAGCAGCCAGCTTTGGGAAAATTGGATAATCCAAAGCTCATAGGAGGAGGAGGAGGCGGAGGAAGAGGAGGAAGAGGAAGAGGAGGAGGAGGAGGAGGAGGAGGAGGAGGAAGAGGAGGAGGGGGAGGCGAAGGGGGAGGAGGAGGGGTGGGTGGTACTTTCTTGGCCTCCTCTTCTCCGTCAAGGACTGAAGTCTATGCTGCTGGCGAGGTCGGGCCATCGTATTTGGCCACAAGTAGTCGCCGACTCCTTTTCGATGCCGTCAACGAGGCGCTGGCCAGAATTCTGGCTCCCCACTCTGGTCCACCTGTAGGCCCAGGTGCAGGAACAGGTATGGCTGGTTTCGACAAGCAGAAGCCTTTACTACGTCAGAGACCGACCGGAAAGAACTTGCTCGAAGAGGTCTGGGGGGAAATGCGAGATTGGTCCATGCTTGCTAGAATAGAGTCCAGCACACTCTATTCTGTTCTCAAAAGAGATCTCGCAAAGAGCAAGGAAAGGTGGATGAAGTTCGAGCCCGAAGCTTTCGAAATTGGCTGCCACGTTGAGGAGATGATACTCGACAAACTTCTCTGGGAGGTGGTCGAGGATTTTGTCGACGTCGAAAGCAAGCGCCACGAGAAACGCCTTGGATTCAGTATGGGGCTAGATGCCTTCTGATTCTTTCTACGTCCGGTCAGGTACCCCGCTGTCTGTTCAAAAAGAACTATTCACACTCCTCAGTCAGGCTCAGTGTACTCGGAGCACTAAGGTCAGGCTTGGAGGCCAGGCCTGGACTCACCGAGGACTTTCCTGGATGTATCTACTAACCGCTTTCAAGGTCAGGCGTGGATGCACCTGGCCGCAATTACATATCCAAAGATAAGTTGAAAATGTACTCGTGTGTGTGTATGCCCTGAGATGTCCCCAATCATGACCAGATTACGTGAATGTTCTCTGACCTATCCAGGGAAAGCGCTCAGCCTCTCAAGCAATCAAGCTCCCTCAAGCAGCTGAAACACTTGACCAGTCAATCACTCAATCAATCAATCAATCAACCAATCAATCAATCAATCAATTCAATCAATCAATTCAATCAATCAATTCAATCAATCAATCAATCAATCAATCAATCAATCAATCAATCAGTCAATCAATCAATCAATCAACATCATCCACTCATTCAAACTGTCGATTCGCCTGGCAGTGCTGGCATGACGTCTAGTTTCCTACTATTCAGCTTTGCCCAGTCCAATAGTATTCCCACCGGGCAACCAACTGGGCAGAACAGCTTTGCCACGTGGCAGAACATCGATTGCCGACATCGATTGCCAACTGTTCTACCATTCAGCTTTGCTCAGTTGGTACACGCACGAACTCAGTCTGTTGAAATACAGACCCGAGTTCGAATTCCAGTGGAATCAGATGAGCGAGAACGACTCTGAATTTACCTGCGGCCGGCCAGCTTAAGCTTCAAAGAGATTATCTCAAGGACGTCGTCCTTTCAGAAGGAAAGAAGAAAGTATTCCCACCTAGCTGCCGGGTCACTGAGTGTTATAACAGTCAGCCACGGACAGTCAACAGACAATGATAGATTGTCAGCGATCAACGGTCCGTGGTTAAGTACGCAGCAGTAAGATGCCATTTGAATGCTCTTCAATCAATTCTCATGTTCTCTTAAGTTGAGAACAGGCGGACGAGGGAGGGAGGGAGGGAGGGGGGGGGGGGGGGGGGGGGGGGGGGGGGGGGGGGGGGGGGAGGGAGCGCGAGCGAGGGAGGGAGGGAGGGTGATCGGTGATGATTTGTTTGCAGTGGACTGCAGCCTCAGTCAGTGAATTCACAAAGAGGTCCATTCCATTTAACCGAAAACAGTACACGGCGCCTCACCACGTGGCAGAACAGTCGGAAATCGATGACGGATAGGGAGGCAAGCGAGGGAGGGAAGGAGGGAGGGAGGGAGGGGGCGAGAGAGGGCGAGTGAGGGAGGGAGGGAGGGTGATCGGTGCTGATTTTTTTGCAGTGGACTGCAGCCTCAGTCAGTGAATTCACAAAGATGTCCATTTAACCGACAACAGTACGTGACGCGGCACCTCGCCACGTGGCAGAACAGTCGGCAATCGATGACGGATAGCAAGGTGTCGATTTGACAACACTGGATCGTCAATCATCAACGGTCCATCGTCGACCAAGTACGCAACACGGGCGCAGTCACTTGTCAACGAGTGGTGTCAGCTTCTCCAAGTTCTCGTAATCTGAGAACGAATGAAGAAGGGCCGTCGCAGTTGGTTATGTCGCAGCGGCCGTCTCAGCGAATACAGGACAAGGGTCCATGGAAGCAAGCGGCAGTCACGGACATACTTCCAAGCGGAGGTACAAATCACCAAACAATTACGGATTGATGATCACCAATTAAGGATTGAGGATTGGAGAAGTAAAAGGAACTGTGAAAGTCATTCTGTGCCTTGCTGCTGTGAGTGGTGGGGGATGAATCTCAAGGATCCGACATCAAAAAGTTGAGCCTTTGAAAACTACTTTTTTTTTCCTTCTTCTGAATCTAGTTAAGTCAAGGGCAAGCTCAGTACCAAGCCTTTTTGCGGCTGAATGCTACATTCATGTAGCTGTTCGTATACGACAGACCATGGGTTCGAACCCTGATGCACACACAAAAAGAGGCCAATGTGAAGCCGGCCCTGGTGCAAGTCCTTCAGCACTGCTCTTCTCGGCTCGTTCTAGAGGCGCTCTGAAAGGAGAATGGAGCGGATGCACAGATGAAGGGTATGTTGCGCGATCGGGAGGGTGAACCTTGTCGCCGGCCGTCGGGCTAGGCGTTTCCTATTCAGGTAAGTGTCAGTTCCAGGAGAGTGTCTATTGCTCAGACACATTTGGTAGTTTTCTGAGCTGGCTGAGCTTCAGGTGTTGTTCCATGATTACATGTGAAATAAGGGTGCTATGTGTACCTGCTAGCGACTGAAAAGCAACATAGACATAACTATAGACATATAGATAGATGCCCGGGTGCTGGGCTTCGTTGTCTAGCCGGTGACAGTCTGTATAAGTGCAGGGGAAGCATGTACAGCAGGTAAGCACAGATAGAAACAGGGGCAAGGAAAGGAGGAAGAAGAGGGGGGGAGGAGGAGATGAGAGAGTGAGGTGGAGACAAAGAGGAGCACGAAAAGGAAGAGGGCGAGGGAGAGAGTGAGAAAGAGGG